ACACACACACACACACACACACACACACACACACACACACACACACACACACACAACCCTACTTTGTAATAGAATCATGTTTCCCCTCTACCCGTGAGAAAGTTCTGCTCTTTTTTTAGTTAAATTTTGTAGCTTTAATAATCGCTCCCACTTTTAAAGCATATATATAGGAAGAATAAAATGATCTGAACTGTGGGAGACTGGGTCAAGTAACTGTATTAGAGAGCATATTTACATATTTTTGCAACATGCAAGTGATCTGATGCTTAGTTAAATGTTTTTTTCTTCAAGATGCACATAATATATTTTAACATATCCTCTGACATGTCATATCCATCATGCCTAGCCATGAAATACTCCCTGTCTCACATCTAAACTTGGATGCATGTGAGCAAAGATATCACTAATGTCTTGTTGGACACAAACAAAGTGCAAGAAGGATAGACTGTGCTTAAAGTAATTAAAGTACATGGACATGACCAAATGCAGAGCACATTGCATATTAGGTATGATACATATCAGAGAAAATATATAAAAGAGTTTATTTTTTAGATCATTGGAATTTTGAGGTAATGATTATTTTTATAAACATTGAAAATAACATTGTCTGTTCTGTTATGATGTACATACTTTTATATGCAGCATTATGTGAATTATTTTTGACTGCTGGGCACCACATCATGTATTGCTAATTATAGTCATTTGTACAGTATATTTGAAATTAATTGCATAGCTTGTAAATAATTTATAAATAACATGCCATTAAAGCTTTTGTATAGGCTAAATAATGTTTAGTTTGTGTTATGATTTAGTTTGTTTTCTTCTTCAGAATTATCAGACTAGGTATAACAAACAATAATAACAAACCTGATCCTTTAAAGCAACTTTATTCACAGAAAGATATTCAAAATAATAAGTTGCAGCTCTCAAAATATGATTCCAAATAGCATCTATCTATGTGTGTATAATATATTTTTTTTTTAACGGAGAAATTGTCTTGGATTGATTTGTAATTTCTTCTTTCTTATGAGCTCCACTTTATGACAGCCATTATTAATTATTTAGAGTGTGCTGACACCTGCCGTTCACTCATAGTATTTTTAAACTAAGTTGTATAATATTACAAAAACAGTAGATCAAAAGTTTGTGGTCAGTAAGGTGTTGTATTTTAAAGAAATTAATACTTTAATTCAACAATGATGCACTAAACTGATTAAAAGTGACAGTAATGTCAATTAAAATGTTACAAAATAATTATATTTAAAAAAAATACTGTTCTATTCAACGTTCATCAAAGCATTTTGAAAAACCTTATCACTATGACTGCTATCTATCTTTGGTTTTATATATATATATATATATATATATATAAAAATTTAATCCACTTGATCATGTGATCATGTCCATCATCAAATCTTTATTCCACTATGTGATAATGTAATATGACAGTTGTAAACGTTTTAAAAATCCAAGTAGGCTAATCAAAACTGCCTGTACACGAGGAGTCACCCATATAAAAGATGCTTGCTGAATCCGTTCAAGCCTGTAAAAGTACATGGTAATATCACATTAACTTGAGTCATTTTTTTTCGGCGCTGGGTCTGCTGCTCCTCATAATAGCCTACATCACATCAGCAGAAGTTGATGACTTTTATTTTGAAATATCCTAAAGTCGTGAACTTTATTTCTCAATTTCACTTTGTAACGCAATGGATCGCCAAATCACCGCTGTCCGTCCAGAACATCGATTTGACACTAATAACCTGAAAAGATATCTGTCAGGGAAACTTGACAGCATTTCAGACAACAGCACTTTAACTCTGCAGCAGTACAGGTAAGAAATTTCACAACACACATAATTTTTCAAGTGCACCTCATGCAAACAAAACGCATGTTCTATTGTACTTATTTGTTTTGAATAGAGCTGGGCAATCCAACCCAACGTTTTACATTGAGACTGCAGATAAACGTTATGTGCTCAGAAAGAAACCTCCAGGAGAGCTGCTGCCCGGAGCTCATAAGGTAACGTTACTGTGTTCTGTGAGTCGCTCGTTGTACGTCGCTATCCACAATAATGTGAAACTTCAGGATAACCGAATAACTGATTATTTGTAGAATACGTGCAGTGCAGAGTTTAATGTAATTGGAATGTTGAGTTTAATATAGTTTATTTGGGTCAATCCAGCGCTGTTGTGATCATGCAAAAAGGACTTTGGCACCAGTAGTGATTGTCCAACTTGACAACACAACACAAATGTATATAACGTTAAGTGACCCCAGTGGTGAACGTGATTTCACCAAGTACATGTTCCTGGATCAACATTTAATCAACCAATCAGAATAAAGGGATAACTTCTTAGGAAATGTCAATTTTAGGTTTACGTTCAGGGTTGCTTCTACACCCTTGTTAATCAGCTATCATTTTCCTCTGATTTTAGGAATACATTATGGGTAGGGTAAGGTTTAGGGGTAGGGATTGCGTTAAGTCTATATATTTTTTTAAAGTTATGTTGATCTCGGATCAACAAAGGATGTTGATCCAGGAACATGTCTTACTTGGCAAAGTCGTCAAAATCATGGCGACCGTGAACCAGTAGAGGGAGACAGAACCAAATATTTTTTAAAATTAATTTTTTTATTATTAATTTGTATTAATTTATTTTTAGTTTTTTTAATTAATTAATTTATTGATGCCTATTTCACGTAACAAAAACTGTATTTTTGTTTCAATCAAGAAGCTAATCTGCTGTCATAATATGTACTGGTTAATTGTTATGTCTAATTTTTCTATATTGATGATGCATCTCGGATGCGATGTGATATTTTGGATGTGATATAATGGAATATAATAGAGATATAATGTGAATAATGGTAATTTTAGATGACCTTTCGGATGTATTTAATTATGAAACACTTTAAAATCTATAATAATATTAAACTTATTTCATATTTTCTCCAAACCATCTTGAATATTAAGACTTTCACCTGCAATTCTGGCCAAATTAAAGATGCATTGTGTGTGAATTTGCACGTTACCTCGTGTTTAATTAAAAAAAAAAAATAAAAAAAAAAGATTGATTAGTGAAATGAAAGAATGATTTAATAAAAAATCGGTAGTAATTAGTAATTGTCTCTAATTGGCCTGTTTAGCTAAGCCCTCAAAACGCAATTTCATATTTTCTCTAAACCTTGGGTATCAAGACAGGCACCCTGCAATTCTGACCAAATTAAAGATAATGTTGTGTGTGAATTTGCACATGTTATAATGTACTGCAAGTATCATTAATGATCCCTTGTGTTTAATAAAAAAAATGAAATTAAATGAAAGAATGATTTAATACAAATGAGAATGATTAGTAATTGTCTCTAATTGGCCTGATTAGCTAAGCCCACAAAACACTTAGTCATACAGTATTTTATTTGTAGATTATATTGAATAGTTTACACTTTGCATAAACATTTGCAATTAGTTTTTAAAAGGTAACATTACATTCTTAAGGACTCCATGCTTGCATTTATTTTGCTAGCCGGTATTCGGTAATGCGATATATCACGGTAATGAATATGCACGATTAATCACATGCGATATTTAACGCGCATCTTGTCAGAAAGCCGGTTCTGTAATCAGCGGTAAATCTCCA